CTCACACGCAGAGAGAGAGAGAGAGAGAGAGAGAGAGAGAGAGAGAGAGAGAGAGAGAGAGTAACAGAAAGAGAAACAAAAACAATGGAGACGGTGACAATGGGGAGATGGTGACAATATCAGCAGATTACTGGCTATTTCGTGTGGCTTATGTGTCTCTTCCACATAAACATACAAAATGAAAGCCCTAAAACTTCCTTTCTCTCTCGCAAACAAAACTCAATACTTTAGAAATGGACACACACTAATCCACTCTCTTTATAAAAAAAATAAAAAAACAATGGGGTGATATGGTTTATTTGACATGGGATATATAGGGCACTTTCTACCAGTCATTCATCTACTAGCCATTTTCCTGCAATTATCCATACAGTGTGTGTGAAATATTATGACCTGACTACAAGCAGCTCACACTCAGAAATCAATTTTTTCAGTGAGCAGTTCTGCAATGCTCATTTTTAACTGTCAATCCCATCTATAGTAGGCAAACAATAATCAGCCTATCATCATTTTAAAGTGGACGTATAATGGAAAACATGATTTTTTTTTTTTACTTGCTTTCTCACAATGCAGAGCCAGCTCTTTCACTATACCAAGCACACTCATTATAGAAAATACACAGAGTCACTCAAAAATCACATAATGATGAGCACATACAAATATGACCGTCCATATTATATAACATCTATCCAGAATAAAGCAACATGAACCACCCTGACATATGAACTATATCAGCAGATTTCACATAACTAGGGCTGAATAGCAGCTGCACTGATAAGTGATTAATCTGCTGATTATTTTGTCAATTTATTTTTCATATTATGAGGGTTGTGAATTAAATAGCAGATTTAAGTTACACACTTTAATTGGAATTTGTAAATTATATTTACAAATAATTAATACTACTACTAATAATTTTACTTTAAAATATAAATTAAATCAATCAATCAGTTAAACATAACAATATAATTAAAATATATTTTATCAAAATGCATATTTTTGTTCAAAATCAATGCTCTCCCTTAATGTGTTTTTGCTACATTTGACTGACATATGTACACACACACGTGCTCTTTCTTTTTGTAGCTTAATGCACACTAGATTGCTGTTAGAAGCTTTTATCAGTTTTATTGATCAGCTGTTTTATTGATCAGCTCAATGCAAAACAGCCAATCATAACAAAGGTTATTTAAATATAGATATATTGAAGACACTGTAATGTTTTTATTTTACTATTAGCGCTTTTATTTCCAAGAGAGAAGGGATACAAAAACCCTTTTTTTTTTGCTGCTGGAATCTTGACTAACATTATAAAGTGAACTTCAAAAGAAAACAACATGCTACTGTTGAACATGGCACCTTTAATATGTCAATTTCCTCTCCCACAATGAATCAGCGTGATACCGGCACTTTAACAAAACTATCCTCTGTATTCTATCCCGTGGATTTCAGAGAGCATCGAGTGCTTCCTGGAAGAGAACAGGAAGGCGTGAGTGCTCTTTGGCAGTATCGCAGCATGAGAGGCCTTAATGGATTAAGAGATGGTGGGTGTGATTAAAAGATCACAGCAGGACCGAAGCCAGAACCACCTGACAGAGAAGCAAATGTACAGACCTGGATACACTTGAGGCAGAGAACAGTAAAAGCCAGATGAAATTATGATGGAGATATATGAAGCTTTCCAAATGGTGTGTAAAAATTAAGTGCTAAAACACCCTCCAAGATGCGTTCAAAAAGGATAGCCAGTAATCCTATCACTCAAACCTCAGGAGGTGGTTTCAGATACATACAAGATGTGACATGGCAAGAAAAAATAAAATAGAAAACAACCACCACAATAACAAAAAATATGCTACATCGACAATGGACTCTCAGATGGCCCAATTATTTGATAACTGTCATTTGTGTGCCTTTATAAGCAGATGTTGGCATATTATCACAACCAAAACTCCATGCTTAATATATCTGCTATGTAAGTAATTGGGGTCAATTTCCCATTAAAAACAGATGCAAATAAATATTTTATATCATATATATATATAAATATACATAAGACATTCACACTCCATAGCCCCAGATTGAGACACTTTGCTATAATTCTCTAGTCTCTCACCACTAGAGGGACCACAAGCACCAAAGACACGTCAATGCTGCAGTATACAATATGCTGAGTGACTCTCCATGGCTGCATCTCAAATGATCCATAGTATATAGTACGTAAGCTTAGGAGTAGTACACCCCAAATCATAGTGCCTCAAAAAAGTATTTCAAAGGAGCCTGAATGGTATGCTATTTGCATTGAAATTTCTAGATTTTCTGGGTCAGTTCACCATCAATCGATTACAGCACCTCATTACACATTTAACAGCTCGTTTCTCTCATTAAGATCTGTCACAGCTGTTCGACCTACCTGCTTCTGTTCAGAGATGAGCTTCTCTGAACACCAATGTTCATTTAACATTTGTGTGTACTTGTCTAATGCAATATATGTGCATACATGTAATTAGATGCAGTATGTACAGTGAGTGTTTTTTAGGGATGCACGATATTATCGGACCAATATCGGAATCAGCCGATATAGTATGTGGAAAATAATGTGTTTTTTTAACCTTAAACCGCATAAACACCTTGCATTACACCAAATACACAACATAATGTTATTTTTAGCAACGTCATAAGACCCCTTTAAATGTAAATATCGGCATCGGCCCGATATGAAAAAATATGCCGATATGTCTTACCGATAAGAGGAATACGTTAACTCACATGTGCTCAGGGTGTGCTAGTGATTAGATCACATCAACAGTGCGATTAGATCACATCAGCATTGTGGCTCATTCTTGAAGCAAAGTTTTGCCTGAATGGTGATTGGATTCACTGGTTTGGATGCTGCATTTAAACTGAGAATGCACATACAGAATGATGCATTAGGTGTGTGATAGAGTAAACAGTATTAGCACATGCAGCAGCGGCAGCCTTCCCTGGGTCCTTATGCCCGCTCAGTAAGTAGTTTTAATTCCGTAGGGGGCGCTGAGCTGTTCGTGCATAGATAAGATACCTAAAGTTGCAAAGTCTAAAGTCTCAAACCCAAAGATATATTCTTTATAAAAGTTAAGACTTGTCCACGCCCTCCTAAAACGCCTTGTTTAAACACGCCCAACTTTGCATAACACCGCCCAAATGTTCACGCAAAGAAAGGCAAAACTTTCATTCTATTGTTGTTGCCGCTGCCGCCATGTCGTGGAGACGCTGTGTGTTTCATGTGAAAGCGAAACTACTTTGTTTGGCCTTCCAAAAGAGAACGATATCCGCTTTGTCATGCCTGGAGCTGATCCGTGCTGGTCGCTGAGGAAATACATCAATTTCCCGCTGTGAATCGCCGGATCGGCTTTCACCGTGGACGAAGCGGAGTCCAGCCCGGGGACGTCACATGTGGTTGCCGCAAGCCCGCTCCTTCGTC